AAGGACTACATCTTACATCCCAAGTGTAATGGGTATGCTATATTTCAAAGGGAAATGTTGTGCTTAATATATCATTACTATTATGCTTAACTCAAATTTAAAATTTGTAGGTACCAATCACTACATACAGTTGTAAGAGGTGAGAGTGTGGTTCCCCTTGAAGTTCAAATTCGAACAAAAGAGATGCATTTGCAAGCGGAGTATGGATTTGCTGCACATTGGAGGTACAAGGAAGGTGACTGTAAACACTCTTCGTTCATTCTTCAGATGGTTGAATGGGCACGTTGGGTCATCACCTGGCAGTGTGAGGCTATGAAAAAAGACAGCTCATCGATTGGCTTTGTTGAATCCTTGAAGCCGCCTTGCACATTCCCTATACATACTGAGGGTTGCCCGTTTTCTTGCAGACCTCAGTGTGCATCTGATGGACCCATCTTTGTAATCATGATTGAGAATGAAAAGGTTTGTTCACGAGATTTCAGTTCTTCGGTATCTGTTACTACTTACATGTTTTTTTTTGTGTCGGAACTTTTCAAGTACAAGAATTTATTGTGGTGTTTCTGGTTCGTGGATTGTTTAATTCTGTCTGATGTTTCTTGGTTCTTCCTTGCCGCAATACTTCATCTCAGTCTTTTATACTGGAACTTGAGTACTTGGTCAAAACAAAAAAACACACTTCCAGAGTTCCTGGAATTTGTTCTCTTCGGAGACTAAACCTTCTCTTTAGGAGAGTTGCTTCATTGGATTTGTGATGCTGATATTGCTGCTAATCTTTTATATTATTGTTTTGTACAATTCCTGCCTGCCTTTTTTTTGGGGTGGGTGGCTGGGGTTTTTTGCTGTGATAGAATAGTTGTGGTGCATAAGTGTTCAATTTTATGGTACCAAGCATGACCTATTATCTGTTGCTTGGATTTGCAGATGTCAGTTCAAGAGTTCCCAGCAAACTCTTCTGTCATGGATTTGCTGGGAAGGGCTGGTCAAGGTAGTTCTAGATGGACACCGTATGGATTCCCTCTTAAGGAGGAGCTAAGGCCTCGGCTGAACCATGAACAAGTCAATGATCCCACCTGCAAGTTAAAAATGGGCGACGTGGTTGAATTAACTCCAGCCATACCAGATAAGTCTTTAACAGAGTGCCGGGAGGAGATACAGCGCATGTATAATCGTGGTGTTACTATGTCAAGCGCAGTGCCTGCTGCCAGTACTAGGGTAGCTTAAGAAGTTGATCTTTATTTGTTCTCTTTTGTTGTACAACATTCAATGTGACACTGGTGACTCCTGTAAATAGACGATGAAACATTAAAAAGAACTGCTCTTACGAAGAAAAATGGTCACTCGTACAAAGAAGAAAGGTAACCGGAAATTGTTCCTCGAAAATCAGATGAATGCTGATTTCACAAATTCATTTGCCATTCGACGTAATGGGCTGCTGTTAGGAACCAAATTATGTAATATATAGGTAAATTGTTTAATGGAAGTGCTAAACATTTGATTTGCTTAGTCATTTGTGGCAGAAGCAGAGTAGAGCATTTTATTGATGAGGTCGCTGGATAGCCTGAGTAACTACATTATCAATTTTCTGTCCAGAGCATTGGCTTCTATGTTGCTGATTTTCCAATAGCCATCACTATCCTTTGTTTTACCTCGCTGAAAAACTAAAACCAGTTCTCAAATCACATATGATAACAAGAAGCAATTTGCTCTCTTATCTCCAGAAAAGGTGTTGCGCGGAGACTTGCCATCTAAGTACAAACATAAGCATGATCAAAATTCCGGCAAGTCCCCTAGAGGAATTTCCGATTCTGAGCAATGCCAACTCGTACGGAGCGACTGATGCTCTACTTCCTCTCTGCATTGGATTAGATGATGTCTGCCTTTATGGCTACAATCAATCCCGCAAGCACCACAGGTAGGACAAAGCCAGAGCTCCACCTCATCTTATAATAGCTTTCATTTTTCTGCTTCTGCAGACACCATGGCTAAAACCATGGTTTATCCTCGTGGAGATGAATTTTGAAATGAAGAACAAGCAGATGTAGCCATTGAGGAACTAAAGAAAAGAAAGTATGAAAGTTGGTTTCTTGTTAGTGTATGAAAGCCAACTTGATTCTGATATGAGAGCCTAAGAGAGGGATTTAAAAAAATCTCAACAATAAAATCAGTCATTAGAATCTGCATTATACATATTACTGCATCATAATTGATAATTATTTTGATGTTCTTCACGTGAAAGGAAATATAAAAAGAGTTCGATGTTCTTGTATTGGAAAAATATCAATACATCAATTTTCCAGAAAGGAAGTTAATGTTCTTGTAAAGTTTGACTTGTCTAAAACTCCATTGGCTCTGCACAATTTTGCCTTTGATTTATCCCTGATACTTGTTGCAAACGAGACCTGCAATATCTGCAAAATTATAGAAATCATAGGATCATCAGGAAATGTAGGGAAGTCAAGTACGATGATTCATCTATTCATCCTAAGATGTTTTTAGAATAGTCATTCGGTTCAATTGTCATTGTATGAAAAATTGCCGTCGGAGTTGGGTAGGGAAGCAGGGAGCGGAGCATTTGATAATTTATCAGAAGAGGCCATTTGAGGTTATAACATTGGCATTGCTGCGATAATTTATATATAGAGCTTTGATCTCTATGGGAAGAAACAAATTAAAGCAAATTAAAAGATTAGGCCTGCTGTCATCTTGGAAGTTTTGATGTTTTTTAAACGTTTTCTAATTTCATTGGATCTCGTTTTCTTGTTTTTTAGTAACATATTCTTGGTTACGTCACAAAGGTTGTATTTCTTGGGTGGACCTGGTTTTTGAAACTTTTAAGAGACGGCTAACAACTCTCCATTTTTCAGGTCAATGGCTTACTGAAAATAACTCAATTTTCGTATGAATTCTTATCAAATCTAAGATTATTTTACCAAATCAGGCCTTCTGCTCCACAGTAGACATTCAGGCTGGAGCATAAATCTAAGAAAATAGAATAGTCAAACAAGGTTCCTGGAGACC